TCAGGGATAATACGCTGACACTGCAACATTGCAACCAAATATACCCTTGTCTACGCTTAATTCACAATGTTTCGGTATTTAGTACAATATACAGATACCAGTCCGAGTCCGAATTAATTAATTGATTCTGAGGGCCACACCCTTTCAAATAGATTAGGCAGCCTAACCGGAGTCCTCTATGAGTGAGTGAGTGACTTTAGTTTTACGCCGCTTTTAGCAATATTCCAGCAATATCACGGCGGGGGACACCAGAAATGGGCTTCACACATTGTGCCCATGTGGGGAATCGAACCCGTGTTTTCTGCGTGACGAGAGAACGCTTTAACCACTAGAGTACCCCACCGCCCGAGTCCTCTATGAAGGGGATAATATGCTTAAAACCAGGTAACCACTTCTTTATTTTCTTATATCCACGACTTTTTAAGAATCGAAGGGAACTACAAATTACTGACTCTTGTCAGAAGCCGACATAACGGCGATTTGGGCGTGCCATCGTGCCCAAACTCGTGGATCGTTGCTCATATTGGCAATCACACGTTTGTCTGGATCAGGCTCGATTCTTTCCAGGCGGCCGCCATGTAACTTGAGTATTGCTGAGTATTTTGCTCTCGTAATGCCAAGAGCAGTGTAAAGAACAACAATAATGTCCCAGAGTGCCAAGCATCACCCATTCCTACATGGGGGACACGTCACATATGTGGATTAGCATGGTTAGAGCGCCTACTCCCCGACCCCACAGGGGGTGGTGACGGAGGAGTAACTCCCACGTGGCAGGAATATATTACTCACGCACGATTAAACTCTTTGATTTTGCCACATTGCCAATCAAGCTGCCATTTGCAATAATTATTTCCAGCAAGTGTAAAGGCCGTATCAGCTACGCCAAGTTAATCAACATTGTGTTAGATTATTCGTGGTTCGTCAACTCCCTGATTGAAGGAGTATTAAGCTGAACTGTGTTCCATCCCGCCTGCCCTTTCTCCATATAACACTCCCTCCACTGCAACATCTCCATCCCGCGATATTTGTTTACATACACCTCCTCATCCTCCCCATTGCTATATCAAACTCTGTCTCGGTTTTCTTCTGTAGTACACAACGTAAGCCCACTTGACCAGTGACGCAAAACCGCAGTTCCTTGTTAATTGTCCCGTGAATTTTCTACCAATAATCGCAACTGAACACATCGTTCAGTTCCAGGTTTAGATAATGATACTTTCTTTGTCAGCGCCGTGTTCGCCCACAGAGTTCAACTGACGTAATACACGTCGACCCCGTCTCGCGGACTACATGTCCCGATGGAATTGGACATGACGAGCTCACTAAATCACACCCAATCATTAGTTTATGTAAATGAAGCGATGTGCATTAGAGTGTGATGTGATGTGTATTGATTGCTACAACCTCGATGCTTAATTTCATACGCTAAAAACAAAGTGTCCCTTCCCAATCCCTAACTGCTATCGTGGTCTTGAGGACACAGAGAGCGGAACGTGAGTCGGTGGTTCAACCGTCTTGCCTAATTTCCCTGATACAGAGTACCGTATATGGCCGGAGATAAGCCGAATTTTTAGGACAAAAAGCAGTTTGTTGGGCATTGTATTATATCCAGGGATTAAGATTACCGCGTGTATTGTCTCGTAAAGAGAGCCGGTGACTAGCAATCAGCTTGTTACCCTGCCTTTATTGGGCATTAATGGGATAGAAAGGACAGGGGTGTCGGCCCGGGAAAGCGAAATTTCAATATTCCCTATTCCCGGTAAAGCGAAAACCAAAGTTGTGCTAAAAGTGCCGCGAAAGCGAATTGCTATGAAAACATCGGATTACCGTCCTTCGTATTAGCGCGCGACCCCAATACTCCTTCTGTGAGCCTCTTAACTGAGATGAAGTTTCAATTGTTTCAAGTTTCAGCACTTGATTTATGACAAGTTTAAGTATTGGTGTAGGAAAACCCTCCGAGAAAAGAAGTATTGGAGCTGTGTAGTCGCCGGATGCAAAGCGTCAGTGATTACCCAGAATGGATTCCTTCAAGCGGTCTTGCAGGTAAGAAAATATTATCATGAATTATTATAATATTAAATGTATATCCGACTTGACTTAAAATTGTTTGTTGTTTTACTTATTTGACTGTTGTTCCAGACGACCTGCTAAATCAAATACCTTCCTTCGCATCACTCAAGACCATTCTCTACAGACAACGGCACAAGACCATTCCTAGACTCCCTGTCACCCGACGTGAGATTCAGTTTGTGGGACAGTGGACCTTGGCCGAAGCAGGAGAACCCTTCCTCCATCGCATCGACGACAACATCATCATCTTCGCGACAAACAAGAACATCCAGCGCCTGTGTGCACCAGATACAGTGTTTGGCGACGGCACCTTCTCCTCAGCTACCCGGTTGTTCGAGAAGAACAAGATGATGATGATGATGATGATGATGATGATGATGATGAAGGCCACATGTTCCAGTTCGTCTACTGTTTGCTGTCCTGGACTACACTGATCACGTCGCTGACCTGATCCGTCAATGTGACTTACCGGTGAACAGTCTGTGGCTCAAACATTTATTGTTATTTATTTATTTCTACCATGACTACGGTATCAGACGACGACTCACATTTCTTTGTTTTCTTGTTTATTGAGAGTCCTGGGAACGCTAAATTCAGTGTTTACTGTAGCTTGACCTTAAATTGAGGAGGTTTGGTCCAGATTTCGCTTTCCCGGGCCATAACCAGGACAGGTGGGCTAGACTTCATGACTCATTATATTCTTTCTGAGTGGGACTTCCATGTCCAAATGATATGGTATAAGTGCGTACACACGCACGCACACAGGCACACACACCCGCACGCATGCGCGCGCGCGCGCTCTCTCTCTCTCACACACGCTCTCACACATATAATCACACGTCGCTTTGGGAGTGAAATAACATAAAACATGCCGTAAAATGCTACATGTACTTCACATCACCTCGCCTCATCCCACCCCACCTTGCCTCGACTCGCTATACAAACCTCACGACACCACACTCACCTATCTTTTCTCGGCCATCCATCCTATCTTGGACGACTCGTTATCATATTAACAGCAGCCACGATGGAGGACATCGTGCTGAACACTGGCACATGCTAAACCTGTATCTGTCTGAGTTACGACTACATGTTGGTATACCACAGGGAGCTGAGGAGACACTTCAGTTGTTTACCAGGCAGTGGGTTTAATACAGTTTAGTGTATTTTGACAGACAGTACGTACATTAAACTAGGATAACTGTACGGATAACATGATATCTTGTCGTGAAGCCACAAAGCCGTAAGCCGTAAACTGTGATCCTTTCACAATAGCGAAGGCGTTGAGGGAGCACTAGTATGTGAAATATAGCACTTTGGGAGGCAGAAATCAGAGCTAGATCATATATAGGAGGAAAAACGAACAATAGTAATCATTTTAGACTTTCAGAAAATATATTGGAAAAGTCCTTGGGGTATTTCCTACTGATAAGTGAAATAATTCAAACTGCATCTGAAATGTCAAGAATATGGTGGTATGTTTCATACGAATATTACTATGGGAGGCAGGACTCTTCTTGTTAAAATATGGAGCACACTTCAAGCACACGGAGATGTTTCATGATACTGTGTTTTTGTCAGCAATAGTTCAGGATAACAAGAAATACAACCCAATGAGCCGTGTAAGTAAGTTTTGTAAATACATTATAACCAGGGGCATTATAACCAGGGGCATTATAACCAGGGTGCACTGTATGTGACCTAAACCCTGACCACGTGTGTTCGTACAGGCAGTCATATATCGTGTGGTATGGCAGAAGGATATCAGCTATTTAACAGGATTTTGTAGACAGGCAATCCTATGTAGCCCGCCTGATATATACACAACGAACTTAATGAAGCACCCCCTGTATTTTCGTAATGATAGGTTTTCAACACGTACCTAAAACGTCTCGTAATGACCGCAATGGAGAAACATGAGTTTTTCTGACCTGTATGATGCTTTGACTCATTAAAAACCCGACCAAATTGATTAGAATCCATGTTGATTTTATCATGATAATTAATCATTTAAAAAGAACAACACTGATTTTCATACAAAACCATGTTTGAACAGGTAGGGCTCTGGAATGTTTAATGTTGAATTTATTGGTGAATGTGAATATTCAAAATGTCATTTTGCGTGTCTTACACGATTCAAAGTCAATACCGAGTGTAACCTCATATGTGACTGTATAACAGCCAGCACACTCCTCCTCATACCCCCTGTCGGTCTCCAGGTCCTCTGGTGGGGCAGTCTACGCCATTCCTCGTGTAAAGCAGCGTCCAGTTGGGTCAGGTTCTGTACAGGAGGATCCCTTTGTTGCACACGACAACCAGTCATGTCCCACATTATGCTCCAAAGGGTTAAGATCGGGGCTCATTCAATCGTGAGATATGTCAGTGGGTGCTTAAACTAAGTTCTTGTGTATATATGTAGGGTTCTGCAGAAATACGAGCAGTGTACGGCAATGATTGTGGGGTGAGCATGTGTGATGTAGGCCCACTTGATATATGTAGCGTTCTGCAGAAATACGAGCAGTGTACGGCAATGATTGTGCGGGTAAGCATGTGTGATGTCGACCCATCTGATATATGTAGCGTTCTACAGAAATACGAGCAGCGTACGGCAATGATTGTGCATGTGCATTGTCACACTGTCCTACTATTGGTATCCTGACAATAGATGGCTATCAACATAATGTTCATTTAATTAATTATAATTTAACTAGATATAAAACATGTTTTGTGTTTTCGTTCATGCTTTGTTTATCTTTGTGAGTGTGTGCTGTGTATGCTAAAGTGGGTCTTGCATGTGTTTGTTTGTTTGTTGTGGGCGGTAATTAATGTGTAAGCATTGAGTATGCTGTTATTACCAGTATGTTAGATGTGCGTCAAGGCTGTTCGCAGTGTTTTCATCACAAGAGTCAATCACTTGTTTTTCTTCTTAGACAGACTGCAATGGTCGGGTGCCACGTCACTGCGCTACTGTTGCTGGTGGTGTATGCCGTCACGGTACAAGCCTTCTTCTTGGTCCCAGATTCCAGCCACTGGCAACCCAATAAGATGACCTACATCTACGAACAGTTAGAGAGGAAGCGGGAAAAAGCGCAAGACAGGGCAGCGGCGGCGGCAGCAGCAGCAGTAGCAGCGGCAGAGGAGGCTGCAGCAGCACAGGAACTGGCCAGAAAACAACAGTCAGCAGGAGGAAAATCTAGGGTGCTGGCGTTCTACCCATGGAGGGGGAAGCGAAATGGCGACACACCGAGTTCCGTCTATATGACCTTAGGAAGGCAGCATGTTGGCGATACTGAAGATTATTACCGTCCACTTACAGCAGTGTAACGTACAAATATTGACTGGGCAGTGAACCACCACCCGCTTTCGCTCTGAGAACCTTTGTTTTTGTTCAAATGGAAAATAAAATTGTCTGAGGGTATTTCTGAAAATTATACATACAATTGTAGTGAGCAAGTGAGTGAGTATACTTTTACGCCGCTTTTAGCAATATTCGAGCAAAAGTACGGAGAGAGACACCAGAAATCGGCTTCACACATTGTACCCACATGGGGAATCGAATCCGGGTTTTTGACGATTTGAGTTGGTGGTTTTCCCTTCTTGCAGCTATCGGATTAACGTCTTTGACGACATTACTAATCCTGTCCCCATTCTCTCTCTCTCTCTCTCTCTCTCTCTCTCTCTCTCTCTCTCTCTCTCTCTCTCTCTCTCTCTCTCTCTCTCTCTCTCTCTCTCTCTCTCTCTCTCTCTCTCTGTAACTCTTTCTCGCAAGCACCAATGAGTTCGCATTCATTTCGTAATGATATGATGTAAAGCTAACTTACACTTTTATTTAACTTAGCTACATTTACAACCAAGCTAAATACGTCTGCTTGGGGGTAACAAAACTCTAAGTTGAAAACACGATCTCTACAGCTCCTAATTTACTGTCTGTGGTCTAAAACAACATTCATCGAATCAAGGGTTAACGGTCTTGACGCACAAACCAGACAGATCGACAACATGGATTAATTAGTGTCGAACGTGAAACGAGATCTGCTTTTGCAATCCAGGGCATATATTTCCTGCATTCATTAGCTACAATACCCTATTCGTGAGTTAGAGGTCTTATTTCGAATGACTACCTTGACCCTTCCAGCTCTCGATAATGTCTGGACTGAGTTTCGCTGGAAAAAAAGTGTCTTCCTGTGTATTAAAGGGAGTGCAGACATTTAGATGTACGTTTATATGCGATTAATGGTATCTTCCTATAAGACAGACCTCCCAAAAGACAGACCGCTTAAAACAACACATTTTATGGTTGGTTGCATAAGGCGTAATTAAGCTGTACCCTTGATAAAAAATGGTATGTGCCCAGATAAAAAAGACAACATTAGGTATTAACTATAGGTTTATCAATTCATGTAATGAATTATGTTGGGGATTTTAAATTAAGACATATTGCATCAACATATAAGTACATCAACATATATTTGCCAGATCACATTTACTTGTGAATATTATCAAAAAAATAATTTATATACATGTACCTATCAAACATATGAGACCAAACCGTAAGTCCCAAAACATCAGAGTCAATTTAGCTCTACCAAACTTTTAATCGCAGTATATATTGGTTATTTTTATTAATGGCTAAAACTCAGCATAATCGCCATCGGCTGAAGGGATGGTGTAAATCCTGCTAGGGTCCATGTAGGTACCTAAAGTACTGTAAGTCCCCATGGTCCCTAGTGTGGTGATCTACCTTCAGTTGTTGGTGATCTATAGCCCGTGTTTATTTTGTACTGTCTATACTGATTTAATTGAAATATTGCCGATGTGACGCTAAATATTAACTCACTCACTCACTATGAGACCAAGCACCATATTATTTTACATCACATGTTTGTCAGTGCACAGATAACACTTATTAGAAAGTCACTTGAATATCATTATGTTCTCCTTTCACCTTGTTCTTGGCATACAGGCAGCCATCTAGAAGGGTGATCGGAAACAAGGCATAGGAAAAAAGTCATGGGAAAAACGTCCTGTTCTCCAGTTATTTATGCTTATTTGAATAAATACATTAATTTTATAAGTTAGGTTCAAATGTGGTTCAGAGAAATTGCTGATAATATTGTTATGACTTTTTTGATAATTACATTATCAATACTGATTTTTTTGAGTTTATGACTTATTTTCCTCCCCAAATCAATGAACTTTTTCCTATGACTTTTCTTCCTACAACCTCTAGGAGTACCTGGGGCGCACCTTTCTGGGATGGGACATACTCTGCTCTTCCTAGGCCAGCTCATTAATTCAACAGGGGTGGACAGCATGGCTCAGCTAATTATTGTACTCATTGAGTCTGTCTTATGGGAGGTCTGTCTTTTGGGAGATTAATATATCCAAAGAAATTATCGCATCCAAATAATAACCCCGCTTTTTTTCAACAATTTAAGAACAGATATCTCAGGGATCGAACCACACTCAGAACGAAGTTACGGTGTCGGTTTAAAGAGCATCTGTTTGAACCACTGTGTTCTTGGAGAGGTGGTATACGAGCAGCAGGTCAAGTGATTGTCATGAACACAGAAATCAGAACATGGCCACACAGTTCTGGAACACACAGGAGGGTTCTGTCCGGCAAAAAAGTGCACGCTTGGAAAAAGCATTTGACAGCATTATCGGCTCAGTTGCCAAATGGTGCAAACATAAGATCCAAACCACAACCATGAACGGTGCATCAAACACATCAACATAGAATCCCTCGTTTTAATTCTGGCCATCATCAAACATGGGATGCGCCATCTCTTGCCAGGTAGCTTAGTTTCTTGTGAAACGACACATGATCCGTGTGGTCAAGTAGACGACACACAATGTGCCAGGAGGGAGCGCCGGATACAGTTGGTCGCCCCCAAACAATGTCCAGCAACAATGTTGTAAATTAAATTCTAAATTGTAAAATATTTGCTTCCGAGTCAAAATTAGACCCCTCATAGAAGGGGGTGGGGGGTGGGGTGGGGTGTACATGCTGAGACGTTGACTGCAAATGACGAATCCCTGGATTCTGGAAATAAAAGCAACTAAACCCTTTCACATTCATAGGAAAAGGTTCATTTTCATAATATCTGCCAACAGCAGAGTCGATTGTACAATTGTGACTATATGATGAGCAGATATTTGTTTCAGCAGTATTACAAACCGGATCTGGACCAGACAATCCAGTGATTGTCACCATGCGATACGATGACAGAGCATGTGTTTATGAATCACTATGAAGTTGTGATGGTTCTAGGTGTTCGCCAAACGGTGAGCGTCTCCTGCCCCCAAAATACGCTGTAAGCTTTCCATATCGATCCAGTTTCATCTGTTTGCCATCTTCATTCAGAAATTGTGATATTTACATATTAAACCCACACAGAACACAACTACCCCCTCTGTGATGACGCTCAGAAACGACAGGGTGTGTCAAAATATCAATATTATAAATCTATTTGCTTCTGAAGAGAACATTTCGTTTCAGTTTGTATTCTCATACGGAAATCAGGTAATTTAGTTTCAATCTGTCGCTTTCTCATACCTTAGATATTAAAAGTCTTCACGTCGATAGGCTGATTACAAAATTCACCTGAAGCGACTTTCTTATAAGCTGTCATCGGATCCTCGCTCAGAAAGGTATTGCAGCGGAGAAAATGATTTGTTTGAGTCTGTACAAGTGATTCTATCTCCAAACAGAAAGGAACGGGTTCTTGGGTCCCGTTGCCATTGTCTTCTGATCCCCGGCCAATCACATTAGAAAGGGACGGGTTCTTGGATCCCCTTACCATTGTCTTCTGATCCCCGGCCAATCACATTAGAAAGGGACGGGTTCTTGGATCCTCTTACCATTGTCTTCTGATCCCCGGCCAATCACATTAGAAAGGGACGGGTTCTTGGATCCCCTTACCATTGTCTTCTGATCCCCGGCCAATCACATGAGAAAGGGACGGGTTCTTGGATCCCCTTACCATTGTCTTCTGATCCCCGGCCAATTACATTAGACACAGCTCAGTCACAACGACCACTGGAAATATCATTCCGTTGAAACATTTCTTGATTAGATATTAGAACTGTAGTGGAATATGTACACCTACTGCAATCAATCATACTGTCTGTAAGCCAGGTCTGCTGTCAGCGTGATACAATGGGAACCAGGTTGAAGCGTACTTAAAATCTCACAATATATATGCGCAACCGATAGATTTTACTGTTTGTTTCACAGGCATGATTTCAGTTCAACACATATAATATGTTCTTATGGCATAATTATTCAAAAGTAACTACTATTACTCCTTATGCTACCGCTAAAACTACTACTGCTAATGATGCTACTACTACTACTACTACTACTACTACTGCTACTACTACTACTGCTACTACTACTGCTGCTGCTGCTGCTGCTGCTGCTAAAAATACAGAAGGTTACATAGAATGTAGGTTAGACGGCAGAAAATAAATTAACTTAATTTGAAACATCGGTGCCAACCATGAACCACACGGTTATTAGTCCGCTTGTAAGAAAACAAATGGCCACCGGAGACGTTAAGGATCGTTCATTACCTGGAAAACGGTAGAAGATGAATGGCCATGATGGTCGAGTCCTAATACAAGCATGTGAATGGCATTTAGAAGTGATCCACATAAGAAAGAGAGTTGTCTGGATGTCAACTTCTTTATTATGAGGAACACGTACAACGTTTTGAAGTATATCCTTACCCCTTCATCAGGTGATGAGTCCTAATTCGTCTGGCAAGAGTGGGGCGGTGGGGTAGCCTTGTGGTTATAGCGTTAGCTAGACTCGGGTTTGATTCTGCACATGGGTACAATGTGTGAAGCCCATTTCTGGTGTCCCCCGCCATGATATTGCTGGAATATTGCTAAAAGCGGCGTAAAACTAAAGTCACTCACTCACACTATGCTGCCAAGACGCAATCCTATGACCCATGCCGAAGAACTCCGCCGGCAATGGGGAGAGGGAGTAAGATTCTCAGTAATATAGGGAGGAGATGGTTGGAGGACACATCCCCTGATCAGATGTCCCTGCAGGCACAGGCAGGAACGTCTCACGTGGTGCAGGATCCGAGAAAACCGCAACTTGAGTACATGACGTAGGGTTCATTGGTCTGAAGAACGTTAAGACGTTACCGACGGCGTAATTGAGACATCATAACGAGCTATGCAGCTGAACCCTTTAGCGCTGGTCAGGAGTGTGTGGGGTTGCGTTTCGTATAACTGCAAGCTGGATCTCATTACAGTGGATCCCAACGCAAGGCCCAGCACCGATATGAACCCCATCTAACCTCTTTGGGACTGTCTTAGATGCCATGTTCGTGTTCACCTGTCCAAATTCTTGAGGAGAATGGCAAATGATTCCAATCCCGAGAATTGGACGTTTCATCGCAAGTAGTAGGAGACCGATGTGATCCGTGCGAGGGGTGATGGTTCCACCAGGTACTGATATACGAGCAGAAATACGAGCAGCGTACAGCAATGATTGTAGTAGTAGGAGACCGATGTGAACCGTGCGAGGGGTGATGGCTCCACCAGGTACTGATATACGAGCAGAAATACGAGCAGCGTACGGCAATGATTGTAGTAGTAGGAGACCGATGTGATCCGTACGAGGGGTGATGGCTCCACCAGGTACTGATATACGAGCAGAAATACGAGCAGCGTACAGCAATGATTGTAGTAGTAGGAGACCGATGTGAACCGTGCGAGGGTGATGGCTCCACCAGGTACTGATATACGAGCAGAAATACGAGCAGCGTACAGCAATGATTGTAGTAGTAGGAGACCGATGTGAACCCGAGGGGTGATGGCTCCACCAGGTACTGATATACGAGCAGAAATACGAGCAGCGTACGGCAATGATTGTAGTAGTAGGAGACCGATGTGAACCGTGCGAGGGGTGATGGCTCCACCAGGTACTGATATACGAGCAGAAATACGAGCAGCGTACGGCAATGATTGTAGTAGTAGGAGACCGATGTGAACCGTGCGAGGGGTGATGGTTCCACCAGGTACTGATGTGGTTGCCAATGGTTGTTCATACAATCACAACACTTGTCGTTTATTCCTCACAGACTGCATTGAAATTGTTACCAATTTTCAGTCTCAGCGACTGTTTGTTTGCTGTTGTTTAAATTAGAGTAACAAAAGGCACAGTTACCATTTTAATACGTGGCATTTGGTTTTCAAAACAGTACAACATGTAATGGATGGTACTTGATTAATGCTCATGCGTGTAAGGTAAGGAGTTTCGTACTTCCCCAGAAGTTGAAAGGAAACATACACTAACGCCAAAAGTAGGTTAACCTCCTTCCTTAATGAAGGGAGGTACCTATCTTTAGCTGGCGTTGTGATGCGTGGACGTCCACTTCTTGGTCTGTCTACGGTTACCCCAGTCTGTCTGAAGTCCTGAATAAGTCTTATAACCGTGATACGGTGGCATCCGAGGGCGTTGGCAGCAGCATTGTATGTCGACCCCATCTGCATCATCCCAATGGCCCTTCCTCTCTCTTCAGCTGTTAATCGTGGCATATTTCTCGGACTTGTGTATCATATCATGAATTCTAGGCTCTCTTTATACCCTATAGAATCATTCTACATGTGAAATGGATGCAAATTCTGCTTGAATATTGCTGCGTTTTGGCAATGTGTAAATAGAAAATGGAAATATGTTATTTGCAAGCAAAAATGTTAACAAAGATCATTTTAAATGTTCCTAAACATTTTTTCACAATATCAAAGACACGTTTTACTTGTTTTCTCTAATGCAAATCGGCAGAAAATGTTTTAAAAGACTGAAATCATAGGAATGATTATTGTACAATTTTATACACTCTACAACAGTTGTTTCTTGTTTGAATAGTTGAAAAATGGTGACTTTAAATGGTTTATTTTTGTTTCAAACCAGAAGTGTATTTCAACCTTTCTTTTGGACATATACTCTCCCAAAAAGAAACGCATCATGATAATAGCATTTTACAAAAGGTTTTGCTCTGTTTATGAGTCCTATGGTGTTTATGTTTTCAAACATCACAACAAAACGCACCATCCCTAAAATACCTGTATTTAACAGCATGATTTTCAATTTCGGCGTGTAGTGTCACAGAATACACAATTCACATGCAATGAAAGTGAAAGTTGGGGGTCAGATCGTCTCAATGATGGGTATAAAAGGTTGATCGCTGTCTGTTGATTATTCACTGTATTTGGAATATTGTTGACGAACGCAAAATGCCACGTCTAAGTGAAGCCAACCGTCATATCGCCATTGGTTTGCTTGAAGCTGGCCAGTCTCAACGTGCAGTTGCCCGACGCATGAATGTTCACCAAAGCACCATTTCACGGCTTTGGGAGAGATATCGCCGGCAGAATGCGGTAGCAGATGTCCCTCGTAGTGGGCGACCTCGAGCAACCACTGCGGCGCAGGATCGCTACATCCGGGTACATCACCTGCGTCATCGAAAAGCTACGGCGACCAGTACCGCTCGACAAATACCCGGATTGAGGAGGCTGTCTGCACAGACCATCGGGAACAGGTTGAGAGAGGCTGGTTTACGTGCCAGAAGACCTTATTTTGGCCCTGTGCTTCGACAACAACATCGTCGACATCGATTTCAATTGTGCACCAACGTTCAGGCCTGGAAACTACCGAATTGGCGTAGAATCTGGTTCAGTGATGAATCACGATTTCTATTGGAACGACGCGATGGAAGAATGCGGCTGTACAGACGTCGACGTGAACGTTTCGCCGACGCTTGCGTTTCCCAGGTGGACAGATTCATCAGTGTTATGATGTGGGGAGCGATCACCTGCCGTAGGAGAAGTAATTTGGTGATGATCCAGGGCAACTTGACAGCTCAACGGTACTGGGACGAAATCCTACGCCCACACCTCCTTCCAATCATTGATCGCCAGAGGGAGTTGTTTCAACAGGACAATGCCAGGCCCCACACAGCACGTCACACTAGAGACTTCCTCCAGAACCACAACAGCAATGTGCTCCCTTGGCCCTCAAGATCACCGGACTTAAACCCGATCGAACATCTGTGGGATGCCCTGGACAGACGGGTGCGAAGCCGTAACCCTCAGCCCCAGACACTTCAGCAACATCGCACAGGCACTACGGGCAGAGTGGGCTGCGATTGGGCAACACGAGATTCTGAGACTTATTCGTTCGATGCCGAGGCGAAGCCGTGCAGTTCTGGATGCCCACGGTGGTCACACGAGGTATTGACTTCAGCGCCACCACACGTCTCCATGTGACACTCAAACTGACTTTCCTCGAGTTGGTGCCAAAGACGGATAAGTCTTTATTAAGTCTTTATTTCGCTATATTTCATTGACTCATAAAGCCTACAAGATTACACATACAGATTACAGTGTTGCTGTTTGGTTTGTTTAATTGTTTCTCAACGTCGCTGTCAGCCATATTCCTGTCTGTAAATAATCAAGTCTGGACCAGACGATCCAGTCTCAACAGTGTGAGCGTGAGCATCGATGTACGCAATTGGGTTTCGATAACATTTGTCAGCCAAGTCAGCGATCCTGATCACACAATCCCCTTTACCGCCTCTTACGACAAGCGTTCGTTGTTGTTCTTACCCGGATCTTCCCGGGTAAGTAGCGTCCTTGTTAAAAGCTACAGTAACTGTTTTTCAGCAACAGTACTTCTAGACTAGGATTAAATAATCCTGATTCCGAGACGTCATATCATTTCATTAGAGCCTTATTGTTGCAGAAAATGTTATATATTGACAGGCCAGGCAGGCCTGATTTCACCGTACCAAGGAGAGATATTACACATTGCCCTCTTACAATATAACATTGCATGTTGAACATATCCAATTTGTTTGCCCACCCTTGTTACTGTCAGTTGAATCAAAGGCGCACTTCAAGGAGACACATTTGGTGTGTACATAGCCAGACGCACTAGGTAACACAGGTCAGTTAAGTAAGAAAATAGTTTATTACATGAAAAATTACAAAAATATCTTGTTTAAGGGTAGAAATACGAGAAAGAAATACACTTCCTCAAGACACAGTGATCTGTAGCAGTCTTTGATAATTCAGTGACCACTCAGTGCGGATCGTGGGTATGAATCTCAGATGATACCCTGATTATTTTATTAGTATTGCTCTTTGTTTCAAGGTTTAATCCCCATGACATACATTTCTTTGGGTGTTGCTTCCCGATAACATACGCTGACACACCTGAATACTGATTGGGCGTCAAGCCTTCACTCCTGAGCTTGTGCTCATTCTGAGTACACAATATAGATTATCTCCCCTGCCTCGGCAACATGGAAAAAAGTGGATGATGACTCAGTCATCAAACAGCAGTGGAAGGGAAAACATCATCAGCATGTACGTATCTCCGGTGAATAAAAATAGTATGCAAACGAATCCCCGATGTAGTTAATGGAGTGGCCAACGGCTCCTGTATATTTACTTGACCCTACAGAGTAGATATTCCAGCACTCCTTCCCTCAGTCCGAGGACAACCATCACATCCCCAGACGGTGTAGCACTGACTAGTCACATAGCCAGCTCCGACATACGGACTGAGGATGTGTCACAGCATTGGCTAGCAGTGATTTTATATGTTCCAAAGTAACGCTGTGTGTGTTGAAAGCTGGTTATGTAATGCCGGGTATCGAAGAAAACACATGGCCGCCAAATATACTGAGTCTCATATGTATATTATGCGCACACCTCACTGTTGCGTGCAGCCAACAGTATTGCTGTGGCAGTAAGTCCATGAATCATGGAGCTGGGTTATAGGCAGACGACAGTGGTGTGCTTCAAGGCAAAGTCACTATGTACAAGCGAGTATTTATCGTCATGTCTTTGTCACGACCCTACACTGAAGCTATTCTCTCGATGGATTCAGAATAAGGTTGCTTCTTCGGGAGTTCATTCGAGGACACACTTCCTGTCCGCACTTCTATTTCCTTCTCTGTGGTGTGTCCTTCGTCCATGCTGACGGCTTCATAAGGGCGGCTCTGAACACATCTCAGTAGTCCATGCTTCTCGGCAGCTACGGAAAACACCTTGTCGTACACCAACCCTCCGAGCACAGAGCCGATCATCGGCCCCACCCAGTAGATCTGAAGACAACACCAGCATTATCACCACGATCATCACATATCTAACAGTCTAGAGCAATAACACTCAACACTTCTCGCAGAAATGTCTTATTTCATTCTGAGTTGTATCCATCAGACCACGGAAGGAGTTCTGGATATCACAGGTGACAGTTGGTTACAAATGTCAAGTTGTGGAAAGATACTTACCCACTGGTTTTTGAAGTCTCCTAATATCACAGCCGGGCCGAAGTTCCTGATAGGATTGATGCACCCACCGGAGATGTGGCCCTGGAAATACAGAGGTATTAGTCTTGAGGATCTGTATGCTTATACCACCGTCAGCAATACTCAAGCTATGCATGGGAGACTGGAAATATTCAGGTAAAGGTAAACCAAGGGTTTTGTTTGTTTGTTTGTTTGGTTGGTTGGTTGTTGTTTAGCGCTGCACTCAGCTATTTTTGCGGTCTGTAAATATTCGAGTCTGGACCAGGAAATCCAGTGATCAACAGCATGGGCATCGATCTACGCAACTGGGACACGAATGACATGCTTAAACCAAGTCGGCGAGCCTGACCACCCGATCCCGTTAGTCGCCTTTTACGACAAGCATGGGTTACTGAAGACCAATTCTAACCCGGATCTTCACGGATCTCAATTTACAAGAAGACCAGGTAAACGGTCAGGTAAATAGTATGAGTGAGTATTCCTAAATGTATCATTGTGATACATGGAATGAGCAGTGTTGTGAGTGAGAGAGTTTAGTTTTACGCAATATTCCAGCAACATCACGGCGGGGAACACCAGAAATGGGCTTCACTCATTGTACCCATGTGGGGAATCGAACCGAATCTTCAGCGTGACGAGCGGACGCTTTAACCACTAGGCTACCCCATCGCCCCTAATAATAGTATGAGCAGTAATCTATGACACAACCTTGTATTGTATTGAAAATGTCAACGTGGAAATGTTGGCTGTGAATCATAAATATGCTTGAATTGGTCCTTTTTAAACCCAGGACATTCACTTATAAACCAGAATCGCCAAAGAAGCGAGATGCACATGCGAAAGGTTTTGTGTATCGCTCATAGGTTCAATTGTGTTCTCGCACTCGAACAGAGTACTTAAATATGGTGTTAAATAATGATATTAAAGAAATAATATTGCTACTGTTTCGACAATAATATAATGTTCTTTGAACGTTTGCAAAGTGTTCTTAAAGACCGATCTGAAATCACCATTTCAGCAAATGGAGGCCAGATCCGAGAGTTCCAATGGATTTCATGTTACCTGACCACGTTGGTTTTCCCAGGCTGAACTGGCCATGGCTGTTCCCATTAACCAGGAAACATGTGGGCAGCCTGTGACTGGATGTCTGTGTGCCATCGTCCACTGGCGCCGTGGACATTACTCGTGGTATCAAGCACTTGTTCAACCACTCTTCAAGACTCGATAAGTTACTGGGCAATGACTAGACGAAGGCACCTTCCTGCGTTTATCACCGTTAACTAGCTCCGTTTTCCAGACTTGATAAACGTCGATCACCGTAATCCGTAAATCAGAAAAAAATATCTAAACTGACCCAGCTTTCACGGCTCCATTTTTCGTTCTCACACGTATACATTGCAACGATACGTGATGTAAGCAACGTTCATTGTCAGGCAAATGTCTCCAATATCGTGTGACACATGGTTACATAAAGTAAGTTTATAACATCAATAGCAGGCTGTCAAGAATACATCTGGCTCCCACCAAACAGGACATGGCGGGACCGCAGATAGTATCGTGGCTGACAGGCACGACAGATGACAACAGCTGCCAGATTCGCACGTAGTGTTCTACAACGAGAGTAGCGAATACTACCTTGACAAATATCAAAGCCTTTCTCTTCTCGTGCTGGTTTAAAGACATAAGCTGCGAACAATGGGGACCCTTCGGTATTGGGTGACATTTTGCCTCCGCTAAGAAAGGGTCATTGTCTTACAATGAGTTGGACAGGACGTGGGGGTCAGAGACTAGTCCCAATGTCTGTTGGAACATACGTGTCCCAGTGTCTTCTGAGACAACCTATGCCTAATGGCACAGTTTTGTTCCAATGTCATTTGTTGCCTCAGTAGATCCAGTGTCTTTGTGGATTGGTTTGTTATTATATTACTATATTACCTATCTGACGGTGATCCGTAAGTAAGTTAGTGTGGGTCACTAAAACCAGTGTTTCATACTGAGGTTCAATCTACGCCAACGGGACACCTTTACTATACATGAAAGTTCAGATGTCTACTTGAGCACACTTGCCCCGACATCTGGACGCCCGGCATTTCCTAACTGGGGTCATTGACGTCTGTCCACAACGATACAGGGAGCGGAAAAGTCACTTACTCAGCGGGAATATACTTCATAAACTGATATTACTTAACTATATATACCATACAAAGGTACAACGTCAGTCTGTATACGAGTCGACTGTTCCCGATTACTATGATTGAGACTTGATGGTCTTGATGTCAGCGTCTGATCTGGCAAAGCGATTGGTTAACGATTTCACTGGATCAAGTCTTTATTGCTGTTACAAAACACTTGTGCACTAACATGGCGGAAATCAATAAAGTAGATCCACTTCTTCTGTTCTACAGACATTCGAATTGGCGAGGTCTGTTGGACAGACTTGCTTCTATACCACCACTCCAAGCTAGGACTCAGGCACGGTCTCAATGCTGGGCAGAAAATATATTACTGTGATATCTATTCTTAACACCAGTCTAGGAAAGAATTATAATATTGCATGCATGCAAACAGAACGTTTGGTTCGGAGGGTTATATATGGACCAACACATAGCGGTGCATCTTCACTGGCGAGTCAATGTGAGATATGAGTTATATATTACTGTAAATACTCTGCTGTGGGCGAGTACATACGCCCCAGGTCACGCTGAATGCTTGACATAATAAGTCTAAAGTTCAACACTAAGATCTTTAAATGTGTCATGAGGACGTTTAGACTCGCAAGGCGCCGTTCATCGATGAAAGAATCTAATCACGTGTAGAACATTGACATGACCGCTTCCAATGTCAAGGGAAGGTCAAGGTCTCAAAATGTTTTAGTTTATTCAAAACATTAATAGTTCTCATAAAGTCCCATGAAAATACTCAGATGATTGAATGGTCAAGAAGGTCTGCTATGATTATAAGCATGTTCAAGACGGCATGGAGAGCTAATGCATGGCGAGACTTGAAAGTATTGCAGTAAAAAACAAGATGAACTTGGGAGTAAAGCCCGAATCGACGCCTGGTTCATACACACGTCTCTTCAGCCCTAAATACCCACACATACAACGCGCCCACGCCCCCCCCCCCCCACACACACACAGAGACACACCATACTTCCCTACTTCCCAACCCATTATGCCATACGCACATCCAGCATCCACCCCATCTCCCCTCCACTCACTGTGTACCTACCCCAACCATTACCCTCCGCATACCCCACCACACACACCCATCATCATTCTCCCATATCCCCCTTCCCGCTCACTCCACACACACGCACGCACGCACACACACACACGCACGCACGCACACGCACACGCACACGCACACGCACACGCACACACCACGACCCGCCTCTCCCTTTTTGTCTATCTCACCGCTTCCTATCCATCGATCTCCTCAACTTTACTACACTTTCAGGATTTGTCCCCTACACATAACCACCCACCTCCTAACTATTCAGATGTGTTCAATAAAACACACACAAATAATCCCTCAAGGCAGGACAAGTATGTCTAATGTAAACCATTCCCTGTGACAGTCCGAGGTTTTATGGCTGTACGTACTGGTATATGTGATGAAATTAACATTGTCCGAGGGGTGGTGGTGTCCGTCCGTCGTTACATATCGCCGTCAGTGTCCCTTACATGAACCCCAAGGACATTGTCAGCCGTCAGTGTCCCTTACATGAACTACAAGGACATTGTCACTCCCCCTCGCGTAAAGACTTATCCACGACCACATCGGCTTGACAAATTGAATGGGTTTTGTAACACTACCTTGGTCCCGGGGGTGAAGGTAGGCCTGGGGGCACGTGGAGATAGCTCGGCCTGGGAGGCCCTGGGATGTCACTCACGGAGACTGCCCGCTTGATTGAGACGGTCACTCTGTTTAGCTCCTTGTAGTCGGTCAACTGTGCCGTGTCTTGTCTCCCATCATTCAAGCGCGAATACAGATTTCAGGAATGAAGGAACAGATGTTGTGATGCGGTATTTCGCGATTAAATATTTACATAATGTTTGAAAAACAATCACCGCATTAGATTGCCACAGCGTTGTCATGTGATCACAATCAGTGTAACCGCTGACCCATGAAATGTATCAATGTTTCAAGTTATTTACAAAGTGGTCATCGGATAAGCAGCATCCGACACATACATCTGTATCCACGTGTTATATTTAAAATATCGTGCTCAACGCAGTCCATTGTATGACTGAAACATAACATGTCGACGTGGTCATGAATCACTTTCAGACAGGGATATAAGGGGTGATAACCATGTACCCTTCCCCATCGGTGCACCCGCCACACAACATACCAAAGCCAGTAGTTTTTCACTTACAGAAACACAAGAACCTGTGTCAAAATATGTCAACATCGGGAAATGCAGGAGACAATACACTTTTGTTTAAAAATTCTTTACATGTTCATAATGATAGTTTTGAAAACTGTTCTAAGGCCTAATGTGGTAATTCCAAAGAAACTTGAAATTACAGACGCATAAACTGTTTGAAATATACATAGTAAGATGGCGCACAGTTGTACCCACAAAATACGAAATGTAGAGACAACCTACGGAATATTTCCTACATAAAAGGAGATGTCTGAGTTTACATTCATAAGTCATAATTCAAAATTTAAGTCACCCCTCCTGTCATACAGTCGTGTAGGTAGGTTTTATTAAGTGAATGTTTATATGTACATAGCTCTGCGTCCAAACCAGACAAGGCTTTCAACCGATCCCGAGACCATTCCTCCAGTGATAACCCGGGGCTTGTTCCTTGTAACTGGTTGGTTAACAGTCAATGAGATTCTCTGAATGTGTGATAATATACTATCTGTTCTTCGACAATGAAAACTTGGGGTCACTAAAGATCACATTTGCATCTATACTCTGTCAAAAAAGAAACGCAACCCCTGTCCTCAGATATGAAAAAATTCGTTTGAATGAAGTTATTGCTTCCAAACTAAATTTTATTCGAATGTATTGAAATTATACACGTAATTAATGAAGATTACCATCC